GCGGCAGAAGGCGGGAGCCGGAGGCCTGGGAGGTGGCCATCATGGGCACCAGCGTTCCTGGAGGGGTGGCCGGCCTAGGGCAGAGGAGGCCCATAGCGGGGCCCCATCCGCTGGGCACGGAGCAAACGTTTTCTGGTCAAGTACTAGGTGTGGAGATGCGGGCTGACCTTAGAGAACGCGTCCTGGGCCAGCCCACAGCCCGGGGTGGAGCGGAGTCCTGGCGGGCCTGGGAGGTCACAGACTGGGCCTTCCGAGTCGACACAGGTGAGACCAGGAGTTTGCAGACCTTGCTTTCGTTACTTTTGCTCTGGAAAAGAGAAGAATTGACGAAGGCACCAGGAGCTTTTTTCTGAGCAACAACGAAGAAGATCCTCTCACCCCTTTAGCCTAAAAACCCCTAGGGGATGGGTTTGGTTCCGGTTCCCAAGGACTCAGCCTCTGGGCCGGGCTCCTCTGCGCTGTGTGGCCTGGCAGGGCACAATACCTTTGCACAGGCTCTCGGGGTGGCTCTGGGGGAAATGCCCGGCTTTTACACCTGTATTTTGTGTTGTCTGAGCAGTGATTTCTCTCCTGTATTTCTAGCCTCTGGCTTTACTGGTTTCTTCACGATGGCTCTGGTTAAAATCGCTCCTCCACACCTTCCCCGTCACCCCAACCTGTGCGGTGGCTCTTGTTATGGGGCCACCAAATGGCTGCTCTTTCCCAGGCCAGTGCTTGACACAGTGGTACCACCATCCCAAGAGCACGGGTGCGCAGGGCCATGTGGGATGGCCAAGTTGCTGGGCCCAGCTGAACCTGCCTCTTTACATCTAGGCACTCCCCCATCCGCCCACTGCAAAAGGCCAAGGTTCACAGGTGTGCGATGAGACTGAGGGCTGAGTCTGTCACTAGAGGACTTGACACATTTTATGAAAAATTAGTAAACCTAGATACCTCGGTCAGTGTCTAGCAATGCCAAGGCCCCAGTTTGGGTTCAAGCCTGCTGGGACAATCCTGCAGCTCCTGGGCCACAAGAGTAGCCAAGGCCCTCTGATTTTTGGTCAGGACACAGACAGATAGCAGGGGACAGGGGGGAACTGAGGGACACCACATGACCTGCAGTCAGACAAGGTAGGTCAGAGAATTTATTTATGGCTATCTCTCTCTCTTTTTTTTTTTTTGAGACAGAGT